GTTTCAGGCTGGACATAAGGAAGAATTTCTTTACTGTCTGAGCCCCCAAGGTCTGGAACAGCCTGCCATCGGAGGTGGTTCAAGCACTTACACTGAACACCTTCAAAAGCAAATTGGATGCTTATCTTGCTGGGATCCTATGACCCCAGCTGACTTCCTGCCCTTTGGGCGGGGGGCTGGACTCGATCTTCCAAGGTCCCTTCCAGCCCTAAAGTCTATGAAATCTATGAAATGGGCCAGATGTGGCCTATAGGCTGCCATCCCATGATCTAAAAAAAGTCACACTATTTCATATACTGACCTCTCTTTTTCAGAGATCAGCTCACTAAGGATTCAAACAGGAGAAACAGAATTTTGGCCTGAGAAAGTATGTTAAGAAACATGTTAGACACATACATACATGCAGGGAGTCTGCTCTGACACTGGAAATCTAGTCTGCTGGAGCACATAAGTTGACATACTCTGGCAGCCTCGCACATCATGTGCGTCAGTGCTCTGAGAAAATGGTGGTGATGCACTTTGAACTTAAACACATTCACAATGTGCTTTACTTCAAAGTACACTGCTGCCATTTTCTCAGCATGGGGATGTGCTGCGTCGCTGCTGCACGCGACGTGCGGGGGTTTTAATTAGTGCCGCTCGCTAATTAAAACTTCTTGGCATTGCATCAGAAGCACATGTAAAAATGCCCATTTTGACTCTTTTCCCCCAAGTGAAGGAATAAGCATGTGTATTAGAATAGGGCTGTTCAATTAGCAGCCTGTATGCAGCTCACAAGGGGCTACGTTGCAGCCCCTCTAGCTCCAGCCTGGCCACTGCTATCCTCATTGCTCCCACTGCAGCAACAGCCAGAGTCTCAGGGCTCCGCCACCCTCCTCCAGCTTTCATTGCTTGTCCCCTGGAGTGGTACAGCCCAAGTAGCTGAGGATGACCCTGGTGCTGTGCAGGCACTTGATGGAACCATGATGAGGGGACGTAGAGGGGTAAGCATTCATGTGATGCAGTGGTGGGATGCCTGTACAGGCACATGATATATCAGGCAAGGGGCTTCCACAAGGTGCAATGGGAAGATGGCTGTAGTGTGCAGCCCTCGGGGGCCCATGGCACACCCCGGTGTGGCTTCTGCTGGTGCATCCTATGAGGCATTTGACCCCCACCACTTAAAAGTTGCATTTCTTACATTTATTTTTAGTAAGAATGCAAACTATGACTTCCACTTTGACCAACATGGTTAGCTTAGAGTCCAGGGCTGCACCACAGCACCCGAGCCACCTTCACAGCTTAATATCTTGCTGATGAGTCCATGATTCTACAGCACAGTCTGTTTGAACCATCCATGCTACAGTCTGATCCTTTTACAGCATCGTGGAACAGCCACTCAGGCAAAAAGGTCTTTAACTCCAGAACTTGGAATGTGGTTTGGTTATAAATTAGACTTTATTAAACTTGGCTGAAATGGTACAAGCAATATGCCAGCCCCTATCCACCACCAGTTTCTAATGAATGAAATATAAGGTTTGGGGTAGCAAAATAAGTCAAGTGCGAAAGCGAGTCCCAAGACACAGTGCTTGGCTATAAAAATTAAGTGAATTCAATGCAAGCAAGTATTGCCATTCCAAAAACTAGAGTGTTGTCTATTTAGCAGACAGACAGAGGTAGCTAATAGTTTTGGAAAAAAGATATTAAAGAAGGTGCTTGAGTATATTTCTATACATATTCCTGTCCCAAATGATTTGCCAACTTCAAATCTAGCAAACAAACTGCTACTCTGACCAAAATAGTAGAGGATCAGAAACCACTAACTAATTTTACAAGGTTACTTTCCAAAGGAATTAAAAATAGAAACTGTACAGATCTCCAAATTATTTAGTAGTGTGAAAGCCTAGTTAATATAGGACAAACAGATCTGCAGACAAATAGGCACTTTAAAACAACTCCCGCCCACTACAAAAGGAACTAATGGTATTAGGATTAAGATATTAAAATTAAAGTTAATTTGCAAATTTACTGTTATATATCAATGCATAAGAACAGGCTTTCTAGTAACTCTGATTTAAAATGGAGTTAAACATTAATAAAGATAAAAGTTTACTTACTTCTGCAAAACTTCTTCTCGGCCACAGACTTTCAGGATATAGCTGCCAATATCCACTTCATTCAAGTCATCATGTACCCAGCAAAGTGCTTGCATTATTATAAGCTCAACAGGAGAACTCACTGTTTAGAAGAAAACCCAAACATCCTGAAGTTAAATATCAATTACTGCAGCTTCCTCCCTGTACATCTGAACTAATTTGAATGTAGCTGCTTACTGTTCCTATTAGATAGGATTTCTTTTTATACAAAGAGACAATATTTTCCTAATAGATAGAGGCAAAAATTTATGGAGGCTTATCTCGATACATTGAAGTACAATACAAGAGACCTCTCTAATCTATACATTCTAAAACATACACCATGACACCACAGATGAATTACAACCTTCTGGCTATTTCATAAGGTATAGAAACTACATAATAGGAAAGAAAAGAAAGAATATTTTATCAATTAAAGTTTAAATGAATACCACTGGCATCTCAAGCATTAGGCAAGACATGGATTATCCAAGTTAGAATCCTCTTGGGGCAATCAGGACCAAATTTGAATAACTTTTTACCAAGTGGCCAAAACTGCAGTTCTCATCTATAGGGTTCCTTTTACTGGGTACACTGGATTAGTCCCAACTTTGAAGAGAAGTGGTAGTCTAAATGAAAGTTCCCTCGAACTTCCATGTTATTTTAAGTACATATAGATCCAAAATGGAAATTTTTCAAGAACATCACAAGTAGTTAAAAAACCCAAAGAAAAAAAACAAAAACACACAACTTAACATTTGAGAATGCAACTAAAAATCCAATAAGGTCTGGTATAATTTTGCATCATTGGCTGACATTTGCATGAATCAACTTGTCATGGCATCCAGAGTATAATTTGTGCATGATAAACACAATATGCAGTAAGATGCAAAAGACAGCATAGCATAACAAACCTGTTTCCTACCATGAGATGGTCATTACAAAACTATAAGAGTGTTGTTTATAGTTGAATATTTGGTGGAAAGAACAGAAATCCAGGTATTTGGAATATAGTTACTTAAAAAGGGTGTCACAATCAGAAACCATTATTTGATGCTCAATTTTTTTTGCAGCAGTATATGCAGACTACAAAGAAGTTCGCCCCGTTTTGAGGAATTCTTAAAAGCAACATAAATTTAGGGTAAATTGTGGAATCTACATGAGCAATTTCAAAACATAAGTTAATTTGTGATGGGTGGTTTAAAATGTGTTTATTTAGATGGTATCTTTTTATGCTATAAAAGTATATTTAACAAGGACCTCATACAGTACAAGAAATCCCAGTATTGCTTTTACAAGGACAGAAGTTGAAGTTTTAATTCCCAGAATTCAGATAACTTTCCAGATGGTTTCTGTTAGAAAGAACAACCATTTGTGCCTTATACTAGACAGACAAATATTTTAAAAGCACCAGCAGTAAATGCTATATTTCATTCTTACACATAAGCACCCATTCTGTCAGCTACCAAAGAAACTCAGATCATAAGCTTTTTTAAAAAGCACGCATCTGTAAAATTGATGCAAGAAAATATTTAATATGTGTAACACGGTATATCTAGAGAAACACTTCTGTTTCACATATTAAGCTGCCGACACTAAGTTTCACAAAAAAAATAAAGCAAAAAAAAACACTGGATTTAAGAAATGGGCCTTTAAAAAAAAAAAGATACTGTCATCTGAATGAAGTCTTTGTTTAATATTAAAAGCAGTCAGCAGATTTCAGTTAACATGCATTGCCACCAGAGGTTTTCATTGTATCCACTGTTTCTGAACAAAAAGTTCTTACCCTGACCATGTTTCTAAAAGCATTGAGAAATCTTGACAAAACCCTCCTACAGACACCATACTTAGCAACCTTGAAGAAAAAGCATCCTGATGTGTCATCTTAACTCTCTCACCCAGTTATCAAACCAATTATTTCTTCTATGTAAATAAAAACTATAGCAATGTATTAAATGGATTATGTTATTTATCTACATTTTCCCCTTGCATTAAGGAGGAAAAATTAGTATGGCAGTTACTTGTAAAAGATATAGACAGGGCAGCCGTGGCCACAAGAGGAAAAAAAGTACTAGGAACACTAGAAGACGTAAATTTTCATGACAACCTTTTTAGCAACAAGTTAAATCTAATTTTGTTAGCACAAATGTGTCAAGAAACCAAAATCTGGTATAAGAGAAAAAAGAAATATGTTTTTGTTGTTTAAGCCAAGTTAAATAAATAATAAACAATTAGCATTAATTAAAAGTGAACAATAAACTTTAGCTTAAAAAGCAAGTATTTAACAAGTGAACGAAATGTTTTAAACATTTAGCATAATAGCATACATTTGCAATTACTACACAGTTTATGCAGATATAATAAGTAATTTTAAAATCTTCCTGTGCAGAAAATGTAAGTGCCTTATCAGAGCAACATTTGTATGCAAGTATATTGGTGGTACAGTCTGACACACCTGCTGCTACAAACAGCAGAGGGAGCACAAGATAGTTTTGCATTATGTAACTAAGCTAAATGCTTCAGAAACAATGAGTTATTTAGAATATGAAAGATTTAACCTCATCTTCACTGAATTTAAGAGAAAGAAAACACTTACAAAACTAAGGTAATCCACTTGACTGAATTTCCCAAGCTTAAGCAGTATAATAGTAATACTATAAGTCCCCCCCTCAATTTGTTGGGCATGACTATGAAATAAATTAACTTGGAATCCCTATTACTATTTCTGTGTTTGCACTGTCATCTGTATTGTTTGGCTGCATAAGGAAAAGCTCACTTCAAATGCTGCTAATGCATTTTTTCTCTTTCTCCTTAATTCTTCAGAGCTGAGAAAGATTTGGCCCATGAAGCTCCTGGAGAAAATGGGGATGCAGGGGTGGAGTGAGCAGGGGCAGAGCCCACTGCTGAACTGTAACATACAGAGGCCCCACTGGGGACACTTGATGAAAACAAGCCACTTGTGTGAATGCCACAGTCACTTGTCCCGCTGTTAGAAGTGGGTCCAGATCCATCCCACAAGGAACCTCTTGGTCATGGGGGGAGGGAAGGTGGAAGAGGCAGGGGGAAGTAAGGGAGTTTCACCCCCCCCACTATAGTTCATAAACTCGCATAAGAACTCAAAAAGGGGAATATGCCTATAACTGTGACTTAATCCTTTCTGGCATACCTCCTCTCATAAGGATGAGCAATTAACTTTAACTTATTTGCTTGTCTGACTAAAATAAAAGAGAAATCTCAAAGTGAGTTTTTAACCTTACCCTATGAAAAAAAAAAATCACAGTTAAAATTGTGTACGTTGTATACTACACCAATAAAGCCTATCCACTTACCTTAAATTTGGTAGTTCTAAATTTACATTTAGATAGAACCCAGGAAAGCAGAAATTTTCAAAAAGAATTTGTGCAAGTATTTCACACAACCTAATGCTTCAGGCCTAATTACCATATTTACTTGATTAGAAGACAAGTTTTTTTCCTCATTTAATCTTGGGGGAAATGCCCCTTGCCTTACAATCAAGCAAGAAGGGAAGGTGGGGAGAGAGGCAGCTGCTGCAGCTCCGGCCCCAACCCAGGGTTGGGACTGGAGCAAGGACAAGAGACACAGCTGGTGTCTGCCCCCGCCCTACCTCTTTATGCTCTGCCATTCCTACCCCACAGGTCCCAGTCTCCCCATCCCTCTTTCCCCCTACTTTCCCTCTCCCCCTCTCTGCTGCATTCCTTGTTACCTTTGCTTCATACCTGCAGACTCTATTCCTGCTATAGCCTGAGGCTACATATGGCAGAAGCAGCATGAAAAAGGGGAGGCAGGGGGAACAAGGGAGCCTCTGGGCCACCTGGGGCTGCAGGGCAGGGGAAAGGGGGAATCCAGGTAGCAAAGGCAACCTGCCTGCCTGCCTCACTGCCTGCCCCCAATCACCTCTCACTCCCCCACCTGCAGTAGTGGGGGTGGGGGCAAGATGCAACAAACTGAAGATAGTCCTCCAATAATAAGAAACAATACATGGAAAATTATAACAAATGTATAAATTTTCTGTCCATAGAATGTAGTTAGGGGGGTTGTCTTATATTCAGGGTCATGTATTCCCGTAAATATGGTACTCCAGGGGGAGAACCCCCCCAAAAATAAACTTATTCTATCAAATGGAATAAATCAAAATTCTTGTTGCCATGTGAGCCCTGAGGTATTAGCACCCATTTAATGATTAAAACATCTTCTAGAATACTGTATCTGATGACATTGGCAGGTAAATGGCAAAATTCTCCAGCAGCTTTTTTTAAATTAAGGAATCATTTCCTTCAGATAATTACATACAGCTGCTGGAGCTACACCACAGCAGTAGAAAAAGTAATTGGACTATGGAAAAGAGCACTGTAACAGTTTTCCATTAGTCGGGGAGCATTTGCCTCAGCTAAAAAGAATCAAATTCTTAAATTTGTACAACTGGAGAACACTTTGCAGCATGTACAGGTGACAGAACCTTTTTAGTGAATTAAGGGATCCTTTTGGATTTGCATGTAGATTTAACTTATACTTAACAACACTGGTTGGCTCACCACCACCACCACAAGAAGGAGTTGTCATTGCAAGGACAACCTAACAGTACAATTTGATTAGGGGGAGAGGGGAGACAAGCCTGTAAGCTATTGCTTTTATTGATGTAAGCTTGAGAGCCCAAACTTGCACAGGATAAGTGAACAAAGACTGTAAATTAATTGCCATCAGCTTAATAGTTAGCTATAAAATGGAAACATACCATCGCAGGTAAATGTCACTGGCTGTTGGAATCCTTCAATTTCTATTGAAACCTTGATGCTGGCACACTCTCCACTTATATTTCTCTGTAGCATGACAGGACTCAACACAAAGCCTGGATTTGTGTGTTGATTGGTATAGGGGAACTTGGTCCGCAACCTGTGAACAAGAAGCATTCAATTTATGAAACACCAAGTAAAGAGTCCGCGTCCGTAACATAGAAGAATGTAGTTTTCTGAGAGCAGTGCCCAGACCTAACAAATATGAATTACTTTGATTCTTTACCCAAGCAGGATTACAGAAAACATTTACCCTTTCTTTGCACCACAAAATGGTCTTTTAACAAGTACAAAAGAAGGGGGAGGGTCTGCACTGACGCAGACCAGTAAGCAGTGGGTGCTGGAGCACATCTCTCAGCCTGTTGGCCATTGCAGACCCAGCCAGATGGGGCCATCTGGATCGACTCCCTAGTACATGCCCTGTAGTCCCATGCTGTACCCCCACAGGAGATTGAGGGCCCCCCTGTCCAGGTGCTGGCCCACCTTGAGGGAGCTTCCCCCACAGGGAGTTCCTTGAAGCCTGAGTTACCCAACCCAGGCAGCTCCAGGAAGCCAAGGCAAATTCCCTCTTTTCCCCTTCCTGGCTGCTTATCATTTCAGCCGCTGCCACAGAAGAGAAGCAGGGAGGAAGGGAGAATCTCCCTGCATTCCCTGAGGTTGCTCCAGGCTATCCCTGAGACTGGCAGCACCTAAGGCAAGTAGTGGTAGGGTTTGGGAGGGGAAGCTCCAGCAAGGCAGGGGCTCCCTGGTGTCCCCATTCTGGACTGCAGGGCCAGGCACGCAGCCCAAAGGAGTTCTCCCTCCCTCCTATGGCAGTGGCTGAAGCAAATCAGCACCTGGGAAGGGGGGGGGAATTCCCCCTCAGCTTCCCAGGGCAGCACCTGCCTTGCTAGGGGACCCCTGGCCAGGGTGGAGGAAGCCCCCTGAGCTGAGGGCTCCCTGGTGCCCACACCCAGGGGCCTTGGTAACTTCTTCCCCCTCCCTTCTGTGGCAGGAGCCAAGCCAAGCAGCTGTGCAGGGGAAGGAGAGGTGGGGAATTCCCCAGGCTCCTCCTGGCAGTGGGAAGGGCTGCAGAGGGGCAAAGAGTCCCCTTCACAGGGTCTCTCCCCCCCCCCCCCCCCT